ATCTCGGCAGTTGCTCAGCTGCTAGAGGGAGAGGCCAATATAAAAAGTTACTGTCTGCTCAGTGTTACAATGGATCCGTTTTAAAGTGTACCTGTCGTGTGCATTTTTTTAGGGTGCCAGAAACAGTCTAAGGTTCAATGACATCAGAAAATTGGGGTTGAAGGGTGTTATTGAAAATGTGTAGCTCAGTTGTGGGTGGATCTGTAGCTCTGCACTTCTAAGATTCCCCTCTAGAGCCCCCTTCCTTCTCATTAGAGTCATGCTGCTTTGTTAGCAGGCAGAGCGGAATGGTTCTTCCTGGGCGGAGCCAGGACCGGATTTACGCTCTCTCCTGCTCCAAGACCAGGTTCCTCAATGCACCCCCGCCCCCTTTTTCCTCCTCTTTTACTTTTTTATAACAGTTTTTAATTTTATTTTATTTTTTACTTTTTATCGCTCTTTTATTTTTTAATTTCAGTTATTTCTAATTTTTTACTTTTTTTGTATTTATTTTATTATTTTTTACTTTTTATCGCTCTTTTATTTTTTAATTTTTACATTTCAATTATTTCTCATTTTTTTGTATTTATTTTATTATTTTTTACTTTTTATCGCTCTTTTATTTTTTAATTTTTACATTTCAATTATTTCTTTTTTTATTGTATTATTTTTTACTTTATATACATTTTTATTTTTTACCTTTAGCCCTGCTTACCTGAAGCGGGGCTAAATGTAGAAAGAAAAAAAAACCTCCCCACCCAGTGGCTGTGCTGCCCCTCTACTCCCTGCTGCCCCAAGGCCAGGCCTCGGCGGCCTTGTGGGAAATCCGGCCCTGGGCGGAGCCTGGAATTCAGAAGCAGAAAACCTACCATTGGGGTCTTCAAGGTCTGCACTGCAACCCACCTCCATCCACTGAAAACCGCAGAATCGCCCTTCTTCGTTGAACGTTCACTCTTCAGGTGTGGTTGGATGCAGATGGACTCTGATGGTTTTCTGATAATGAATCACAGGCTCCACCCACGAGGAACCGTACCACTCTGCCTATGGACACACAGCATGATTTTAAGAGAAGGAAGGGGGCTCTAGAGGGGAATGTTGGAAGTGCAGAACTACAGATCCACCCATAACCCTTCCATTTTGATTGGTTGGGATGATGATGATGACGATGATTATGGCAGGTAACTGCCAGAAACCTCAGACCTCTGGAAGCGAATTCTGCCATCGCTGCCCCCCCAGCTGTGAGCGATCTTCTCCAGTGTTATCCCGACAGGCGCTGGAATACCTCAGTGCTGTCATGTCGGTCCGCCTGCTCTTGCCATGATATA